GCCTACAGCGTTTCTGCCCCCATCGGAAATGCAGCCACCGCAGCCCGGATTCGATCCCGCGACCTGCGAGTCAGAGCCGAAGAGATAGCAGTTAATAAGAATCAATTGATTGAAAAATACACGTTTTCTCGTGTTATCTTACGAGATTCAGACGCCTTTTGTAATAAGAGAGCCGCGCTCCTAAGAACTTCGCGGCAGATAGACAAGGGCATACATAATGACCTTTGCTTCAGGCACAAACGAAACTTGGCCCCTCTCTGCCGAAGAAAGTTGTATACCTCCGAGACAAGCAAGGTTGCCAAGAGGTAAGCCGAGCTCAAACATTGAAGAGCCGTCTCTCCCATTTAGTGATTGATTCCTTGTTTGCCCCTCAAGCGGGCTCTCTTGTTGCTGAGGGTCTTGCTTTCTATATTATCTTGCTTATCGGCCCGGCGCATTTATTGAACGTGCATTCCTGGGACCGCCCTTCGTGCGCAGCGTGCGTGTCGTGCTTATCGAGCGGGGATTCATCAGAGAAGGGAACTCGCTGCTGGTGAAGCTTCGAGTGAATGAGAGACCAGGCAGCAGTCAGGTAGAAAGGTAAGCAGGGAAGCAACGAAGCGAGCCAGCAAGCGGGTGTATACCGAATCAGTGGGTGAGCGAGCGTTCGTGCGTGCGTCCGTATGTGGTCGTAAGTAATCAACAAATAGCTCACTTGACCTTTTTGATTTCTGGGCAACGTAAGTATTTTGAAAAATCCCCAAAAACGCCATGTTTATGAGACTCACTCGTTTTCGGGGCGCAGTTTCTGCTTCTGTGAACGTCATAGCTTTTTTCACATTTGCAGTACAGAGAGTAATTTATGTAAGTAATTATCCTCTGCATTTTCATTTGTCTAGTAATTTTTAAAGGAGTGAGTTTTTTTCTTTTTGCTCGAGACATAAAAAAAGAAAACGATTGGTCAATTTAAAAATCTACATTAGAAGGGAACACACTCTCAATTTTGCTCAAAACTTTTTAAATTGTACTCAGAAGACTGCGTTATCACGTTCTGGAAAAGCATGTTGCATCATTTTTATCAGAACAAGCTAACAAATTTTCAAACATTGTGTTTTCAGAGGGTCTTCACTACCATGTAAATGACATCTCTGTGGGCAAGAAATACAATGTATGTATGTATGTATGTATGTATGTATGTATGTATGTATGTATGTATGTATGTATGTATGTATGTATGTATGTATGTATGTATGTATGTATGTATGTATGTATGTATGTATGTATGTATGTATGTGTGTGTGTGTGTGTGTATGTATGTATGTACGTACGTACGTACGTACGTACGTATGTATGTATGTATGTATGTATGTATGTATGTATGTATGTATGTATGCATGTATGTATGTATGTATGCATGTATGTATGTATGTATGTGTGTATGTATGTATGTATGTATGTATGTATGTATGTATGTATGTATGTATGTATGGTATGTATGTATGTATGTATGTATGTATGTTGTATGTATGTATGTATGTATGTATGTATGTGTATGTATGTATGTGTGTGTGTGTGTGTGTGTGTATGTATGTATGTATGTATGTATGTGTATGTATGTATGTTATGTATGTATGTATGTATGTATGTATGTAGTATGTATGTATGTATGTATGTATGTATGTATGTGTGTATGTATGTATGTATGTATGTATGTATGTATGTATGTATGTATGTATGTGTGTGTGTATGTGTGCGTGTATGTATGTATGTACGTACGTACGTACGTACGTATGTATGTATGTGTATGTATGTAGTATGTATGTATGTATGTATGTATGTATGTATGTATGTATGTATGTATGTATGTATGTATGTATGTATGTATGTATGTGTGTATGTATGTATGTATGTATGTATGTATGTATGTATGTACGTATGTATGTATGTATGTATGTATGTATGTGGGTGAGCGAACGTACGTGCGTCCGTATGTGGTCGATTCCACGAAAGATCGAAAAACGTGGTATACTTCCTATCCACGATTTCCCTCGCATTTGATACATAGTGCCCATATGACCGAATAGCTCGAGATAACATTTCCTTGGCTGCCCCGCCGTGGTGGCTAAGGATACTCGGCTGCTGACCCGCAGGTCGCGGGATCAAATCTCGGCTGCGGCAGCTGCATTTCTGATGGAGGCGGAAATGTTGTAGGCCCGCATGCTCAGATTTGGGTGCACGTTAAAGAACTCCAGGTGGTCGAAATTTCCGGAGCCCTCCGCTACGGCGTCTCTCATAATCATATGGTGGTTTTGAGACGTTAAACCCCACATATCAATCAATCAATGAATCAATCAACGTTTTGTTGGCAATTAAAAAAAATAATCAAATAAAAATCGAGAAGCATCGCCGGGTGACGACTGGCATTTTACGGAGAGTGCGGTTTTGATGAATTCGCGATCATGCTAACAGCGACGCAAGCTATGTATGACAAACATTTTCTGGCTTAGCACAATTAGAAGTAATGAAAAGATAGCTCACTTGACCTTTTCGATTTCTGGGCAACGCAACTATTTTGAAAAATCCCCTCCTCCCCCCACAAAAAAACGATGTTTATGAGAATCACTCGTTTTTGGGGCGCGATTTCTGCTTTTGTGAATGGAATGGAATGAAAAAAACTTTATTTCAGTCCTGCAGGGCGCGCTTAGCGCGTAGCGGGCGTCTCCCACGTAGGGACCGACAGGGAGTATCTGGCGGCCGCTTCGTGGGCCTGCTTGACGGCGAGAAGTGAGCTCCTGAGGGACCTCTCCCACTTGCTTGAGGTAGAGTCGGGAGGAGTTGTTCTACACTCCCAGAGCATGTGTGCTAGTGTCGCTGTGTGTCCACATGATGGGCATGTGTCGCTGGGGTATGCATCGGGATAATAAACGTGAAGCGTGGCAAGGTTTGGGTACGTGTGTGTCTGTAATAGGCGTAGGGTTAATGCCTGCGGTCGGTTAAGTTTCGGATGTGGGGGTGGAAAAATGCGGCGTTCTAGGTAAACGTGATAGCTTTTTCAGATTTTCAGTACGTAGAGTAATTTATGTGAGTAATTATCCTATGCATTTTCATTTGTGTAGTAATTTTCAAAGGAGTCAATTTTTATTTTTGCTCCAGACATAAAAAAAAACCAAACTACTGGTCAATTTAAAAATCTACATTAAAAAAAACCAGTCTCAATTTCGCCCAAAACTTTTTAAATTGTACTCAGAAAACTGTTATCTTGTTCTGGAAAAACATGTTGCATCATTTTGATCAGAACAAACTTATAAATTATCAAACAATGTGTTTTCAGAGGGTGTTCACTACCAAACCCTTTTAAACTTAGTGACTTGTTTCGAAATGGTAAGCCTAAAAGAATAAGTTTGTGAAGCGCAAACGGTGAACATTTGCTAATTTATGTTTTCATGAAAAAAAAATGGCAGCATATCCACGAAGTGAATGATGGAGAGTGGGGCGAAGAATTCGTCCGTCCATTTGTTCTTGCTTCCGTCCGTCCATGCGTCCGTCAGTGTAACCGTCCATGCGTCCATCAGCCCGTCCGTGCGTGCGTCTGTTCGTGCGTCCGTCCCTGCGTTCGTCCATGCCGCCGCCCCTGCGTCCGTTCATGCGTCCATCCATGCATCTGTCTATGTGTCCGTTCGTCCATCTATTCAACACTCCAAGTACCACCATCTCGCATCTTTTCATCATATATTCCCCATATAAAGCACCGCCATTCAGCGGACATTCCAAGGACTAAACGAGAGGTGGCACACGCACACTTTCTTACGGCTTGCGCTTCGGGTCCACTTCCCACCTTTAACCACCTCGAGCTCATGGTATATACTAGTTCACTGTATTCATGGCACTGCGGCCGCACGCTCGCTAAACCTTTCGAAAACCAAGGAGGTTACGCCCAGTGCAGGGTAACAAACCCCTATTTATCTCTTCACCTTTCCTTGTCAGATTTGCATACACATCTTTCTCCGCGTTAGCGTGCCCGCAAAAGGAACGAGTGAATAGGAGAAATGACACCATATCCACGAAGTGACGATGTAAATGATGATGAAGGAGCTTGCTTCAGAGGTTCAATCCGGCCGTGAATCCTCCGTAAATCCGTAGAGTTTCCTAAAATTAACTAGAGTGAACTTTGGCGCTGCGATCGTTCAGTGACCGTGGGAATGATGGGTAGTACACACATTTGCCTAGTCTTCGTACTTGCGGGTGGCGAATCGTACTTGCGGCCTTGTTTATTGCTGTGTTTCGGTTTTGTTTTGAAAGAAAGATTCAACCCCTTTGAACTTCGCGACCTGATTTGGAAAGGTAAGTCTAAAATAATAAGGTGGTGAAGCGCAACCGCTGAACATTTGCTGATTTTTGTTTCGTGAGACAATAGTTCCAACCCACACGAACACACACGGAGCCAAAAGCAGGCCAGAAGTTCGAAGATTAGAGAAATCCATGTACAACCCATCATTCCCATGTTCGCTGAAGCGCGGTGCGTTGCAGCTCTCATGGACACTAGCGCCAGAGTTCCCTCTAGTGTATATTAGGAAACTCTATGCATCCATCCACTCGACCATCATACAAAGACGGGCCCTATCAGGTGTAGCGACGGTTATTATTATTATTATTATTATTATTATTATTATTATTATTATTCTAGCGAAGGTTCATTGTAGCGCCTGCCCCTTCCCCCTTACTCCGCGAAAATCGGTGGATTCGACCGGAAGTCGCATGCGCCCCGTGCCTTGGAACGGTGCCAACTATGGGCGCGCCAACAGACGCTGGTCGCGTCGATTGCGCCTCGCGTCGAAGCTCGCGTTTTGCTATAGAGTAGCGTCACTTGCCCAGCGTGCCCTCTCATGCAAGAAGAGAGACGCGCGCATGGCATTCCATTCTGACCCTGTCACTTGCTCCAGAAGGAGCGTGGATACTAAGGCAGAATGGATGGACCAGGCTCGAGCGTAAGGAACAGGCCCCTAAAAGCATGCGGTCCTCACCGAGGTTGACGAACTTCTCGCCGAACTCGAACCATCCGGCAAAGCCCCTGTTCTGGCTGTCGGCCATGCGTCGCAGCGTGGTGAACTTGACGTAGAGGTTGGAGGCCGACGAGTAGACGACCAGGTTGCGCTGCTGCCCGCAGTAGGTGCCGATCAGCGTGTCCTCGCTCGAGTTGCCGTCGTATATCTTCACGTAGTCGAAAGGACAACTGCGTCACGAGAGAACAGTTGGCCTGACTCTGCAGTATGGGAACTCCTACAGGTCGCTCGAGGAACACATCATGTCACTGACAGCGGGTTCCATGACCGTAATTGTACTGTACAGTTGTGAACACTATGAGATGGAACACCGTATTCATATATATATTTGCTTGCAATGTACTGATACGAATATGACGCATTGAATGACAAGTAACGCCTTTCAGCTTGAGCACTTACTGTTACCAACACCTGTTTTTATAGCGACATTGGCTTCGACGTCTACCAAGTGCGTTTTGCCGCCATGATTTTTAGCCCGTAATTTCAGCGGTCCCCCACGTTATATTTATCCCCATTAAACTATCTTATTCACATCCTTCAGTGATTCGCTATGCTTATTCCTTAATAATTCCAGAGAATACATTTATTACACGAGCGACAAGGCAAAGGGAGGTCACCGATGTAATGATACACGGTTGCACTAGGCTGGGGTGTCAGCCATCTTTTTTATTTCTAACACCTTCTTCCTCTCCGTCTCCCTCCAACCCTGCCTAACGTCCACGTACAACAGACATCTCTACTTCATGTTGAACCCGCCTGGCTGTATGGTGCGTCACTATACTTATACACGAAAAGAAACTATATAGGTGTTCGCAGCACTTACACGTACTGCACGGGAACTTGACGTCAATTGTGTGACACTTGACAGTTTCAAATACAAAACACCGGAAACATCGCGAATGAAGGACACCCACTGAGAGCCACCGTAGAAGAGGTCGAAGTCCAGGAACTCCAGGCGCACTCGCTGTCCGCGGCTGCCCAGGAATCGGTAGCGGCACTGCAGGTTCTTGGGATACACGCCCGGGTAGGTGGGGGAGAAGAAGTCACCCTCGCGCTTCTGGTCGCCGTAGATGGTGAAGCTGCACACCGAGTTGGGCTCAGGCTTGCCAATCAGGAAGCGCGCTGCAATCAAAGGGATACGGGAAAGGCTTGTGAGAATAAGCGTAAAATACCTGCGAGATCAGGCCTGAAACTATATGGCTACATTTACTGGCCCGAGCTACGAGAGACACACTTGTTTCTCATGCAAGCACGTTGGGTCGAAATCTAATTAGGTTTTCTGAATATTCGAGAGAGAGAGAGATAAATAGAGAGGAAAGGCAGGGAGGTTAACCAAGCTTGGCTCGGTTGGCTACCCTACACTTGGGGTGGGGAAAAGGAAGAATAATAGAAAAGAAAGAGATAGAAAGGAAGATGAGTAAAAAACAGAGAATTAATAGTCAGCTCGAGACTACACAGCACGGTCTCACACTGTTCTTTCACAAGCGGTCGTGAAGTCTGGTGGTCCTTAAAAAGTACAAGAGGGCTTTCGTGGCTTTGCGCGTATGGGAAGCCGTCGGCCAAGGTCCCAGGATCTTCTCTTCTGTAAGCTGCCGTGAATCCAGCTGACAGAGCTTGGCTTCCATAATACGTCGAAGTTTTCTAATATATAAAGCTAGCACGAAATGGAGGGTTTATGTACAAACGAAGAGCTATATAGGATACATACGATATCGAAACATAGGTTTACTTAAGGGCCAATCAGCTGTCCGGATCTATAAGGCAAATATAATAAAGCAGTCCATTGGAAGAGCAGGTGGTTTCATTATGAACAGCTGGGCTCGCCGCAACACCTGGTTGAGAGAGACTTAACAACGCGCTTCTCTCTGTGTGGCCTCCTACACTCTAAAGAAATATCGAGTAAAAAGGGTGTCTTTTTGTCCCACAACAATAATCGTCATCAGGATTGCGTGTGCTTCCTTTCTTGGAAACTCGGCGCTGGCCACTTTCCTATCGAGAATGCAATGTAACCCTGACAATGGGCATGTCTATAGTGACCGGAATGTACCGGGCGCGGGGCGATAGCGTAAGGATGGAACGCAATATAGATGACGATTATTGTTGTGGAACAAAAAGACACCCTTTTTACTCGCTCTTTTTTTAGAGTGTAGATTCGCCTCGACTGTGCAACGAAACATAATGCTAAACCGGAGAATTCGAGAGGGCCCACGAACTACCTTAGCACTGTTATCGGAGACCTAAATATTGGGGTCGTCTTCAATATTATTTTTTCTTTAGGCACTGATGGCAGCCTAATGAGACGAAAAATAACAGACATTTTTAGAGAACGTCACTCTGCCGTCAGGAATTCTGCTTGCTGGAATACAGCCCCACGTTGCAGGCATTGCCAACGCTATCACCTGTTCTACCAAGCTGAAGCGCTATTCAAAAATAGAAATCAAGCAAGCCGAGAGATAGTCATCGCATGTAAGATGCACACGGATCCCGCCTCGTGTGTTAGCCAAAACCTGTCCCCTGCGTCAAGAAAGAAACATAATTTACTGTCCTGAATGTCCCAATTTACCGATACTCTTGCTTATCTATAGTGATTTATGTCCTTTCTACGTGACCTAACTCTCTTATTACGTGACCACGTGACCTCATTCACTCCGTGACACTATTACGTGACCACGTGACCTAAATCTCTATTATGACGTTTTAATGCAGTAAACGATCATTCGTCAGTTCAGCGTTCATGTCGTCTTTTCTCTGCATGTGATGATTTGCACATATACGTCAGAAATGTCTAATTACCGCCCTGCCCCATTCACCGTGCTTTCAGGAAATCCAGCATAGCACTCGCGTGGTCCCCTGCTCCTTTATTGCTTTTTTTCTCTTGAGCCAATTGATCATGGACCTATGGTCCGACTCATGCTCCATGAGCAGCTTTAGTTGTCGATAACTGCTTACGCAATGCTCCTAACAATGTCATTGAATGCAAACAACACCAATATACCGGCACTTGGCACTATAAGTTACTCAAAGCGTCTGGCGCGGATATTTCGGATGCCGCAAGGTCTCATTGGACGTCGACTTGTGGTGCAACACGAAACACGCCTGTCAGTACAAATGCAAGACACTACACAAGCGACCCTACACAGGAGAAAAGAAAGTAGCGCAGATAATGGCGAGCGTCGTTACAAGCACGAAGTCGGGCGGTATACTCTCGTGTCGCCATGCCCCACCACGAGAGTGCCGTTAATATCCCCATAAAAGGAGCCCGCGTTCCCCGGAAGCTGCCCGGGCGATGGCGCGCGATTATCACATTCTTTCGGTGCGTGTCTGCACGATCCCCTGCAAAGGCACTTCACCACTCTGCGTGCAGCTTCTCAATAAAAGAAGAAGAAGAAAAGAGAGTGAGCGTGTAACTATATAGAGAGGCAAAGAGGACTTCCTGCGTGTAACTGCAGGGCAGTCCATTACGCAATTACCCTTGTTGCCTCGTGTACGCAGTAATGTTCGGAGGGAAGACACGAGACAACACACGGAGTTGACGCTGTATGGTCCTTTCCGCTAACGCGGAGCACATTGAACGTTTGAGCTCTTTTTTTTACTGAGGCCTATGGGAGGGCTTCATGCCCTTCTATAGTAGAGTACCAAGTACTCTAAATTGTTACCATATTTTTCTAAACTCGCACAGAGAGGCGTTCCTGATACAAGTGAATGTTCCATGTTGGAGATTCGCAACTTCCATCGATTTGTTTTTATTTATTTTATTCACAAGTACCTTACAGACCTCGCAGAGGCATTGTGTAAGGCGGGTCGATACAAAGTAATAACGAATTGGGTTAACAAGTCAGTAAGAACAATGTAGTACGTCAACAACAGCAAAAATATGTCCAAGTACAGAAGTAGTCGTATGTATTCCACATGAATAGGTAAGTTTAAAACACGTAAAAGAGATGCAATAGCGTGTGGGACAGATCAAAATGAAGTAGGTCTTCTTTTGAGTAGGTCTTCGAGAGGTTTAACGGGCGCTGTGATCAAGAAGATGTACCGTGTAGTGTAAATGAGAGAGAGTGAAGCGTCAGATAGATAGATAGATAGATAGATAGATAGATAGATAGATAGATAGATAGATAGATAGATAGATAGATAGATAGATCGACAGACAGGCAGGCAGACAGACAGACAGACAGACAGATAGATAGATAGATAGATAGATAGATAGATAGATAGATAGATAGATAGATAGATAGATAGATAGATAGATAGATAGATAGATAAAGCGATATATAGCCACGCACACTTTATGTTCACTCGATTAGATTAAATAATTAATTTTGTTCAATTGTAAGCATCGCTAATTCTGCTTTTCGTTATACTTATTTCATTGTTGCTCTTTCAGCTGTCATCTATCACAGACAGAACCCTTACAGTGTGGTAGTAGTTACGTGCATGTACATTTCGTATCCAGCAACCACGACAAATCTTCGTAGCACGCTGCAAGTCACGCGAGCAAGCACGGTATATAGTCGACCACTCTCGGCTCGCCTCTGTGCGCAGCCGTTGGGTGCCGTCTTTCTCATTGGCATTGCGCTGTAGCAGGCTGTACACAGACGGTGCTTCCAAGGCGGCTAGCATCGGCAGACGTGCATTCCTGATGAAGGTCCGGCGTATCTCTTCCCCAAGCATTGCATATTTCATGCGCCCGCTTGTCCCTAGCCAGGAGACTCGGGGTGTTCGTTTTTCTTGATGCCTCTTGGATAGATTCCATGTAGTTTTGTACATGCTGGAGAAACATACTTAGCGCAGTCTGAACAGCGTTCTAACCTCTATCCCTGAAAGGCCGAGATTTACCGGCCTGTAATTCTTTTTATTTAACCCCTTCACGCGTCATTGATTCGCTCTTCTTTCTCCTTCACTGTTCTCTCGAGGAACGCGCTTTGTCCTGGAGGTGTCGCCCCGCCATGGTAGTCCAGAGGCTAAGGTATTCGGCTGCTAACCCGCCGGTCACGGGATCAAATCCCGGCTGTGGCGGCTGCATTTCCGATGGAGGCGGAAATGTCGTAGGCCCGTGTACTCAGGTTTGGGTGCACGTTAAAGAACCCCAGGTGGTCGAAATTCCCGGAGCCCTCCACTACGGCGTCTCTCATAATCAAATGGTGGTTTTGGAACCTTAAACCCCACAAATCAATCAATGTCCTGGAGGTGTACTTTCACCGAATTTTTCTTTCCATTGCGTGCGCTTGCTTCCGATTGATCGAATGGTACCATTTACACACCGTAAACGTCGTGAAGACTCCCTAAAAGCGTGAAGAGTATACGGAAGTTCACGAAAGCTCATTTCATAACTGGTAAGGTGCTTTCGCGTATGCGAATCGGACATGCACAAAAAACGTCGCCAATCGACTCACAATACTTCGAAGGTTGCACGCTATGTGCTTACGAAAGGCAAATTGTGTTTCGTCCAGTTTATTCCTATTCCGTTCAAGTGATAATGGGGGTGTGAGCGTGTTGAGTCTAGGCGTTTTATATTGCCACATGAAGGAAGGGAGGAAGCAACAAAAGAGAGAAGGCAGGGAGGGTAACCAGAAAGACATCCGGTTGGCTACCCTACATTGGGGGATTAGGGAAGGGGACAAGAACGATGAGAAAGAGGGAAGAGAGGGAAAAGAAAAAAAGGAGAGACTGACAGTGATTTCACTGCAGCGTGTAGACTCCACATGTCAGAGGCGTTCACACAAACCCGTCTTTCTCAAGAAATACAATAGGGCATTCACTGCCTTATAAGCTGTCGAGGGATGTGGACGCTGCTGTAATAGCACCTGCATAGAAAGAGGCCGATCATCCAGTCGCCGCATTGCGTTGGCAAGTCTGAGGCAAATTGAGGACAGTGGCACAGCAGGTGTTCGATATTTTCATCGGTGCCGGAAACATCACATGCCACACTGTCAGCCATTCTGATTAACGTGGTAGAAGCTTTCGTGAAAGCAACTCCCAGCCAAAGGCGACAGAGAAGCGAAGCTTAACGTCGATGTAGGCTTGGTGGAGGCCGGAGTTGTAGTGAAGGGTCAAGTTCGTGTAGTCTTGTCGTGTGCTTGGCGTGTTCCACTCAGTCAGCGTGAGACTGCGGGCCAGTT